ACACTGCAAGTGGCCGATGGCTGTAGCCTGTGTGCGATGCTGTGAGTGGTCGACGACTATGGCCTATGTACAACTTTGCGTTAGTATCCGTCATCCAAGACTGACTCTATCTCTCTCTGGCTCTGTGTCCACGTCTTTAGCTTGGTTCTCTGCAATTTGTGTGTGATGCGTATTGTGCAAGCCTCAAGCAACAGGGAAACCTAATCCTAAAGTGTGACCCATACATAAAGGAAGACAAAAAGTTGTGACTTGTGATTTGCTAACTCGTGAGTCATGATTGTGAATGGTCTTATTGTCTCGATCTGATATGATTGGTCTCTCAGTCTCAAGTTAGGCCAAGCTGAAGCCACTGTGATGAATCTGTGAAATTTGATCTAATGGTCTCCTGATCTCATTTGGCCTTTGGAAAGTGGGTTAATAATTAATAACTTTATTTATTGGGTAATGGGTTGGGTAAGAAATAAGAGGTTTGGGTTTATTTGAGTTGAGATTAAGGTTAAATATTTTATAAATAAATAAATAGTATTTTGTTAATCAGGTCTGGTTCGATTTCTAGTGCTCAAAACTGAACTTTAAACCAAACTAGTCAGTTTCCTTATCATAAAAACTAAAACAAATTTGATTATTGATCGGTTTTGATCAGTTTCTTTCAGTTTAGGTTGGTTTGGGTTGATCTTTTTAGTTTGGGTCAGTTTTGAACACCCTTACTTGTTTTTTAATAAAATTATCAAAGATCTAGTTATCATTAATTCATTCTTTTAAAATCTAACTGTCATTTTTTTAACAAAAAAATTAAGTGAGTTGGTTGGGCTCACTAATGTATGTTTTCAAATTTAAAAGCATTTATAGAGTGTTTTTTTTTTTTTTTTTTGATTATGAGTATATGTAATTCTTTTGTTGGTGATTAATAAAATTGACTTTGTTTTTGAAAAAAAAAAAAAAAAAGACACTCACATCTATGGCGCGGGATCTGATTGATCCTGTAGCTATTAATTAACTGGACCAATCTTGATATCCCCTTTCTTTTCTTTTTTTCCCCCCTCCCCTTTTACATTTCATGAACCAGTCTTCTTTTGCGCGGACATTAAGAAGTCCGTCACGCTTCGTTTGGTACAGGAAAATCGAATGTAAAAAATGAGGAAAAGCACCGTGCTCCTTGGTGAGGCTTTAAAAATTTAAAAAAGCTTTTTGAGCCAGGTTGTACTAAGCTAGGCTAAAAAAAGCAAACAAACTCACTTAAATTATCTATTTAAGCATGTATTTGGTTTTTAGAAGGATTAAAGAAGATTTATATTTTTAGGTTAAATTTAAATTTTAGAATGCTTACATTTTAATGTTTGGATTTGTATTACTTATTTCAAATTTTATAATATTTTTTTAAAAAAATAAGAAAAAATAAAAATGAGGTTTTAATTCGATCTAGAACGCGATCAATAAAAAGCTAGATTTTAAAAAATTAAACTATCAAATTTTGTTTAATAAGACTTCTATATGGGCAAGACCCATCCGTTTCGTAGATATAGGTTCCATTAATCCGAGGTAAGAAAATTAAACGGAATGTATACTTTAGAATTACTGAGGAAATATCAAAAGTGACCCCAATTTATCATTTACTCGATGACCTGCTCATCATCATTTAATCAAAGCCACCCCAACTAATTCAATTTTTTTTTTCCCAATAGAGCTCTATATGTATGTATCTTCTTCTTCTTCTTCTTCTTTTTGAAAAAGCTTCATATGCATCATGTGTAATATTTCATTACAAAAAATCGATTAGGAAAACAAACTAACCATCTTTGGTTCTTCACGAATCCAATTTTCCCGTTAATTTCTTGAGAATGAACTTCATTAAAAATATGATATAGCCCAAATATTTACCATATTAGAATTAGGGGTAAGAGCCTGTTTAGATTTCAATTAGGTATAATTGATTAAGAAAATAATTAATTAATATGATTGATTTTAATGATAATTGATTATATTATAATGTAATATGTTTGGATATTATTTTTTTAAAATTAATTTTAACATAATTGAAGATGCTTGAACAATTTAATCAAAATTAATTTTAGCTATACAAATTATCATAAAAAATATTATTTTTAAAATTAAATTATTGATAAATTTGTATATAATATTATTAAATTTGTTAAATTTTATTTAACACAGAAATGAAGTATTGACAAATTATTTATTATTAATATGGTAAAATGAGAATCAGATAAGCAGGTATAGATAGCTTAATAAAAAAAATCAATTTTAACCTCATTAATCAATTATTTCATGTATATGCTGTTTGGGTAATTTTCTTTTAAAACTTGATTTCCTCCCAAAAATTGATTAATGAGGTTACCAAACAGGCAGTAAGTTAGTCATCGGACTTATTTTTATCTTCATTCCTTCTCCTTTAATTTTAGAAACGGCAATTTGACCATGATATTAAAAGAAAAAAAATATTTATCAATATGCTATACTTTTAAAAATATTTTTTTAAATACTACAAATTTTAAACTTGGCTTCAATACCACCGAGTTCCAATTTTTTTCTGCACAATAGTACAAAAGTTCTATACAATTTTTTTTCTCAAAAAAGTATAGAACTGCACTTATATTTAAAAAATGAAAAATTGATGTGATAAGTGTGACAGATTATGTCTACTATGACTCCATCTTAATATGTAATTACACTTCATAATTTCTCTTTCCTTCCTCCCTGGTCGCTGAAGCTGATAATTCGGGCTTAATTTGACGGGTTAACTTGAACCCGTCCAAAAAAATTTAGGATCGAGTTTAAAATAGAGATAATTTTTTTTTATGTTCATGTCTATAACCTAAATACCCAAATAAAAAAATTATTTTTTTAAAATATATAAAATATAATTAAATATTAATTAATTATTTAAGTTTTAGATTATTTTATACTAAAATATTATATATTTAAGTTCTATACATCATTTAAGTATCAAAAATATATTATATATTTTTTATAAAATAAAAAACATTCTTAGTTACACCCATAACTAAGAGTATTATTCCATTTCTATTTATAAATTACTTCTAACATTTTTATCACAATAAAAAAACTTACAAATCTCATTAATTTTAAGGAAATTAATTAATATTTAATTATATTTTATTGTTCGAGTATTTGGACGAATTACTTTAATTATCTCAAATTTTATTATTTGGGTATTTAATTAATATTTTTTTAGGAAGTCTCCTCTCTCTTTCAGCCCATGCAAGTAATGCTGAATATGAAGGGAAGTTTTCGACAAGTGCAACACCTGCATAAACACCGAAAGAAGGTAGCAAGACTGAACTACAAGTTCTTAGAAATGGAGGAAGCAAATATCTTAATTGTCTTAAAGTTAATAATATTTGCAAGTTTTTTTTTTTATTCTAATGAAAATGTTATGAGTGATTTATAAATAGAAATAGAATAATACTCATAATTATGAGTGTAATTAATAATTTTTTTATTTTATAAAAAATATAAAATATATTTTTTGATACTGAAATGATGTATAGCATTCAAACATATAATATTTTGATATAAAATAACCTAAAATTTAAAGAATTAACTAATATTTAATCAAATTATATATATTTTAAAAAATAAAATTTTTTATTTATGTATTTGAACTTATAGGTATGAACATAAAAAAATTATCTTTTCTTTAAACTCGGTCCTAAATTTTTTTAAGTGAGTTCAAGTTGATTCATTGAGCTTGATTTGAATTATCGGTTTTAGCAATAAAAGAGGAAGAAAAAAAATTATAGAATACAATTATATATCCAAATAAAATCATAATAAATATAATCTATCGCACATATTACAATAATTTTTTATTTTATTTAAATATAAGTATAGAACTTGGTTCGATGGAAGCCAAGTTCTATACTATTTTGAAATAAAAAAATATTTTTAAAAATATATTATATTAATATTTTTTTTTTGGTAGCATCTCAAATTGTCAAAGGATTGGTTTCTATTTCTGCGCATGCATCTCATAGAACATATTTTTCTTCTCGCCCATCATCTTTACCATCCGTCCCATTTAAAATCTTTAATTAGTCTTTTCATTATCATTTGACTGATTGATGTCTACATACACCTAACCTAAGCATCGCTTCTTTTCTTCTAGATATAAATTTTCAATTTCCAACATGCGGTACTGGTTCCATGACATGGGTAGATATTATATGTAAAATTGTACCCTAATTTTAGCATTTATGATATTTTAAATTAAATTTTATACATAGAAATAACTAAAAAGAGGGCATTTTCATTTTAATTTTTCATTGTTTGGCTGCTTGTTATTCCTGCATTAATATCAAGCAGAATAAAACCATTAAATTTATTATTTCATATTTTTATAATTATTCTGCAATATAATTAAGTTATACTCTCTCTATTTATAAAATATAAGACATTTTTTGAAGAGTTGGATGTTTAAAAATATAAAATATTTAAAGCTTTTTGAGGTGTAATTATTATTTTTTAAAAAAATATCTCTATTAATAATAATTTTATATTTATTGTAGGATGTTTAATAGAAATAAATATAAAAATATAAAGATTAATTGAAAAGTGATAATTATTTTATTAAAAATAAAATTTAATTAAAAATATTTATATTTTTAAATGAAGGAGTAGTATTTTAATAATCATAGGATCTTAGGTACTTCTTTTGACGCTTCAAATAAATTATTTTTTAATTATTTGACGAAACTGATAACTATTGGTATTTCTTAATACAAACACATTGCATGCATACATATATCATGCATATATCATCATTTGCGACTCAGTGAAGCAAATGTTAATTAGTTTGACGATGTATAGACGCGTCTCGTTCATCTTTCTCGGTCATCTATACGTACAGTAGCCGAGCCAAGTCGATTGCGTATCGATCACGGTCTGCGACTTGAGTTAGATGTTTAGAACAACCAAAGAATAAAACCTTCAAGGAAGTTATTATTCGAAAATTTTTCTCCAAGATGAGCGAGGATTCCAGAAGAATGGTTCCACCGGTTTATGTGTTCATCATCATCTTCTTGTTTTCTGATTCTGCTTCTGGGGAGGATTGTCCATCTACCTTTGACTGTGGAAATCTGGGCAAGCTGGGCTTCCCTCTCACCACTTGGGCACGACAGGACTGTGGAATATTGGCTATTCACGGCTGTGAAAACCCAAACGCCACAAAAACTGTGCAATTCAGTGGAGGAAAAGAGATTCAAGTGACTGGTACAGGCGACGGGTTTAATAAAGTCTATCTGAGAGACGCGGTTCTGGAAAAGAGTCTGGCAAATGAGAGCTGTAAAGCCTTCAACAGCAATATTACTCTTCCTGATAGCTCAGCCCTGGGTTATTTCGAGTTGGATCCTAATGCTGGATATATAACACTGTATAAGTGCAATGTTACGCTCAACATAAGCTCTTCATCGACGGGAATTTACAGATATACAGGCTGTGTTGAGAGTACGGGTGAGACGATCTACTTCGGAAACCAATACAAAGATCTAAATGATACTCCACCTGCTTTAGCAGCATGTTCATGGATTCAGCTTCCAGCAGCGGCTGAATCGTTTGCAGCTGGGAGCCCATTTGTATCCCTAGATTCAGGATACCCCATTCAAGCTCGACTTTCTAGTAACTGTTCTCGATGTGTTTCTGATAGAGGCTTATGCCGACTCAACTCCGAAGGACAATTTTACTGTTCCCAATCCACAGGTATGCATCGTATAATGTTTAAAGTGAAAAATTCTCAGGGATATCGATAACGATACTTCCTCCAATCCTAAAGTTTTTTTTTTTTTTTTTTAATCTGAGTTACGTTGCTTTCAATTTTATACTTTTATCAGCTATAATAGGTTTGACATTTTCAAACCACGTGATGACTAAGAACATTCAGCTCTTTCTCGAGAACTACTCTTTCAATTTAATTGATAAAATAAAAATTTCTTATCAAATGATTCATCTCAATGCGAAGACAAGACACTATTTACATTAGTTTCCTAGATACCAAATTCTAGACTACAAAATTAAGGCTAAATGGGAGTTATACAATGGTTAATAATGAGCTTAATTAATGAGGTGGTTGCATATTATCTAACGAGGATGGTCGGTGGAGATATTCAGGACGGGGGCATGTGCAATCGATAACGGAGTGAGGACCCGAGTGACATTTTAAAAAAAAATTAATAATGAACAGAAATTTTAATAGATTAAAATTTTTAAATTCATCTATGTATATGTGATCACAAATGTTTAAATTTATTTCAAATATATTACTGTTGGGTATTTGTATTTTGTTTCATATATAAATATAAGATTTATATCAAAATTGTTACTCCTCTTCCCATTATTTTGCTTCAAAAATTTTCATCATATATTCCAAATTAAAAAAATTACAATCTATATATCATAAATTAATCATGTTATATATATAAGTATTTTTAGTGATTTAAAAGGAAATAAAAAAAATAAATGAATGATGTCACTGAAAAATATAACAAATACATAATACAAAGATTTTTATTAGATAAAAATATAAAAAATGATTTCACTCAAGTAAATAAAAATTAAATTGACATTTCGTTTCATCTCAATCTAGGTTTTTTGAGGCGGGGCTTCCATCTAATATTTCTTTCTTTAGTTTTTCCTATCCTGCCAAGTGAATTCTCTTGAGCATCGCTCCCACTCACATTTCCACTAACTTTATATCACAATAATCACCTCTTTCTTCCATATTAATTATTTTTACCCAGCATTTCTTTCTCACAATCAAATATCCCTCTTTCAGACGCACACACACAGACAGTAGTTAGAAGAAGCTTGACTCTGTATTTTCATTTTTAACTTTTATTGATCTAATCTATTTTGATTTTAGTTTTTAAATTTCTTTCTCATCGAATACTTTGACAAGAGAGGAAAACTGACTTCAAAAAAGAAGAAGAAGAAGACGACGAAGAAGACAAGAGAAGAAAAACATTACAAAAGGGAAACAAAAAGGAGTGCTGATCTGTTTTATGTTTACCATGCATATAAGAATGCTGTAGGCTTCTAACTGAAAATTCTTCAAGTGTGTATTATCAGCAAAGAAATTAACCCGCATGCTCACAGTCATCTCACAGTTGCATGATAGAGTTTAGCACTTTCAACAACTATAAATATAAAATCCTATTTACTAATATATATATTTTCTTTTTTCCTTTTTGCTTACAGTTGCAGAAAATCCATCGCCGGCGATAGGTAACGGATCAACCTCCCTCTCTCATATAAACTATAGTGGCGCCATGCAAATAAGTTGGCTTATTAATTCATGATTAATTATTTAATCTCTTTGCTCATAATTGCAGAAAATTCACGGCCTGGCAGGATGAAATTTATAATAGGTAATGGATCAACCTATTTTTCAATTAGAATGGATCAAGCAAATAAGTTGTATTGTTCACAGCTTGTCAATATTTTTATTTCTTATACTTATGGTATTTCGTATTCATATATTGATTATAGTGATAGAGTATAATATAAAAAATTATATTAATATGTTCTAGAAAAAGGTTATAGAAGTTATTTACTTTGACTGAAAAAATATATTGATTTACATAAAATTTAAATTGAAAATTGTAAAAATAGAATTAAAAATGTATAGGAGTGAACAAATGAAAAACCTATAGAAATCGAAGAAATTAACAGTAATATAATAAACAGAGGTACACAGAAGAAATGTTAAATTATTGCGCTCCTATCAGGATAAACATAAATATACAACTAGATTTAGATATAGCCAGAAGACAACAGAAGTTTTGATTCAAGATTACAATATTTTCTCTCATTTATTTTAGACTACTTTGTTTTCAAGCATCCTGACTATTGCCCCTGGTCTTTATTATAGTGTGCATTTTAGAAACATTCTTTGGTTTTTAATATAAAATATTTGATGGCGTATTAATTATGTTTTTTACTATTATTCATATTTAAATTTATTAATCATGAGAGAGAACGTAATGCAATTTAATTTTTTATTTATTCTATTTTCACACAAAATTAATTTCTTAACTACATTTCTTTGGTTTTGGATTGAGCTTTATAATAAGGAGCGGAGGGAGTACATTTTATTGTTGAAATTGATAAATAAGCCATATTATCTAATCTACTCAATGATTTATACCTACTATATGTGACAGGTATAACAAGTGGAACAATTGGTGGAACATTGCTAATATGCAGTGTTATTTTTTGTTGTATAATCAAATCATTGAGGCAGAAAATAGAGTTCTTGAAGACATCAAGGGCTGACCAAAACATCGAAGCGTTCATTAGAAACCAAGGACCTCTAGCTCTTACAAGGTATAAATTTGCAGAGGTGAAGAAAATGACCAAATCTTTTCAAGTTAAATTGGGACAAGGTGGTTATGGTGCTGTATACAAAGGAGAACTACTCAATGGTTGTCCTGTTGCTGTCAAGTTATTGAAGTCATCAAAAGGGAATGGGGAAGACTTCATCAATGAGGTTGCTAGCATCAGTAAAACTTCCCATATAAATGTTGTTACCCTTCTTGGTTTTTGTTTGGAAGGCCAAAAAAAAGCTCTTATATATGAGTTTATGTCAAATGGATCTCTTGACAAGTTCATTAATCAAAATAGGGAAGATAAAACTAGTAGTTCATCCTTGACTTGGGAAAATCTGTACGAAATTGCAATTGGGACAGCTCGAGGACTTGAATACTTGTACAGAGGATGCAACACACGAATTCTGCATTTTGATATAAAGCCACATAACATCTTGTTAGATGAAGGTTTTTGCCCCAAAATCTCAGATTTTGGACTTGCAAAGCTGTGTCCAAGGAAAGAAAGCATTGTTTCAATTTCAGAAGCAAGAGGAACCATTGGATATCTTGCTCCAGAAGTTTGGAATAGAAATATTGGAAGAGTTTCACATAAATCTGATGTTTTTAGTTATGGAATGCTGTTGTTGGACATGGTTGGTGAGAGAAAGGATAATATGAATGTTGAAGACCGCACAACAGAGATTTATTTTCCAGATTGGATTTATGATAAACTTGAGGAAGGCGGCAAGTTGGGACATGATGGGGCAAACACCATGGAAGAAAATGATATTGCAAGGAGAATGACGATTGTGGGTTTGTGGTGTATTCAAACATTTCCAACTCAAAGGCCCACAATTAGTAGAGTTATTGAAATGTTAGAAGGAAGCTTAGACTCTCTAGAAACGCCACCGAAACCTGCCGTGCTTTCCCCTCCAAGATTAGAACAAGAATCTTCTGCAACATGCAATGCCAACTCAGAAGATGTAGATCTCGAAAGCTCTTCCCTAATGTTGGAGACCCACTAGTTATTTTACATTTTTTGTTTCCATATTTATTTGTAGGAATTTTGGACTTTCAGCCAATTTGAGGAGAAAATACCTAAGTTTTTCAACTGTCAATAAATACTACTCAAGGCATTCTTGGGGTACTTTTGAGGAAGAACTTTAAGGAGGTCATGGACTAGATTAAAGTTGTAGATATTCTCTAATTAAGGATCAGCATCTTAAGGGATTTTATCTGTTCTTTCTCTTTACTCTTTAAATGTTTAAGAATTTATTAATCATGAATTTCTTGTTTATTTCCTTATGGGTTTCTAAATTTCAAAGCTAGGGACTTGGGGAAGACATTTTTGAGTTTTATATATTTGTTTTTTTTTATTTTTGATTATTGGCTGGTTTGGATATTTTATATTCATTGGCAAAGGAAAAGGCCATTGACAGCGTTGGGGGTCCCGTCGCCGGTTCCTGTACGGTAGAATTGGCTGCCGTCACTGGAGTTTGAGGAAATACCGAAAAAGGACAAAGAAGAGGTTGACGTTTGCTCAGAAAATGACTTTAATTACTTTACCAGTCCCTCTGTCAGGGCAAGCTTTTCCTCTCTCCCTCTCTCTCTCTATATATTCCCTCCAGTTTTATTTATAAGTCTCATTTAAAAGGTATATTTAATCTCATTTATAAGTTATGGTATGTCTTTTTAGATAATATTTAAGAGGTATTTTTAAAATTATTCTTCATGAGAGAGAAAAAATAACATGACATTACTTTTTAGATTTATTATATAAGGACATGTTTAAAATTTTACTTACTTTTATTTCTTGTACTTTTATTATATTGATATTGATGAGATTGATAAAAATAATTTATAAATAAAATCGGAGAGAGAGTATATATCAATGCGAACCTCAGAAGCAGAGTTGGGATCGTCCACGCGTGTCCGTGATCCGTTTCATTGTGATTTTCGGGCTTCATGTTGAGTGTTCCTATGGCTAAAGTTCATGATGATTTTCTTTTTTAAAAAAATGAAATATGGAACATTGTTTTAAATCTTGCTGTTTTGAATTTAAAGCCTATGAAAAGTGAAAACAATCAAATAATTTGTGTTATTGGAAAGGGGGATCTTTATAGACTAATAAAAGAAAAACACGCTCCCAATTCCCAAGTCAACGTCACGGGACTTTCTGCAGCTCTAGCATGTACTTTTTGAATAGCTAAATTTTTTTGCCAGGAAGCCAAGTTTTGGGACAGTAAATTCAGGGTAAAAATCTGGTCATATCATTTGTCTAATGTATCTTTTCAACTTACTATGATGTCGCGTCATCTCATCCCATGACCTATTGCTTCATCAATTATCCCGTGCTCATCAACTTACAATTTTTCTTTTAAAATAATGATATCATCCATCAAATCGAATTTTTTGTGCTTGTGGACTAAAACAATTTTTACTTTTTCAATACACATACTCATTCTATTAAAAAATAAAAATATTTTTAATTTTTAAAATAATTATTATTATTTTTTTATAAGTGTTCTTATTAAATAAATTATTTTATATTTATTTTAAAATAAATACTTTATTAAATAGAAATAAATATAAAAAATAAAGTTAATTTAAAGATAAATAATTATTTTATTAGAGTGAGATTTAATTTAAAAATCTTATATTTTTAAATAAAAAAATATAACTTATAAATCAGAGTATTGAGCAACAAGAGAAAGTGAGAAACTATTATTCTTTCTGTTAAAAAATGTAAGACATTTTTAATCTTTTAAGGTGTAATCATTACTTTTTTTAAAAGTGCCCATAGATGATAATTTTATATTTATTATAGAGTAATTAATAGAGATAAATATAAAAAATAGTATTAGTTTAAGAGTAGTTAAGAACTTTACTAGAGGTAATTTAATTAAAAATATTTTATATTTTTAAATGAAAGAAGTAAAAAAAATGGATAAGAGTAAGATATCTTTTGTTTGAAAAAAAATTTCTTAATTTTTTTTTGGAGGATGAATAAATCTCATGAACAATTAAAAATTTTTCGTAATTTTAATTTTCAATTTATTGCCATTCTCATATATTTTAATATTCAAAATTTTAAAAAAAATCTTAGTAAATCTTTTTGGGTGGATCTAAATCTCTTTTTTGTTTTTTACTTTTATTCCTCTCTCACATAATTTTTTACTCTGGCTCCTTTCTTTTTTTCTTTTTTTGAAAAATACTCTGACTACTATAAGGACATAAAAAGATATAAAATTATCAATGATCTAAGTTTTTATATAAAGTGACTGGTCAAAAAATTATAAATTCTTTTTTAGATAATAATTAGTCAATTCTTTTAACTGAAGTTGAGGAAGGGCGCAGGACTATCCTGCAAACCTACTCTCTGCACCCCACAGCCCCTCTGCCCCACGGCTGCCATCTCATCTCAGCCTCTTCCATTCCATCCCAATGCTTTCAAGACGTAACACTTGCAAAATTAATGACAATAAATTTAAACACAAATAATAATAACAATTTTTTTTTTGCCAGAAAATAATAACAACAATTGAACATCATACAAGTTTTTTAGGTATGGTTTTATAAACTTTCTGTATTTAATTCATAACTCTCCCTGTACTTTTAAGCTAGCGTAGGGAATATATTTCCGAATTAATGGGTTGCGAAATAAATAAATGAATAAGGAATAACAAATAAATCTCATTAAAATAATTAATTAATAATATAAAGTATTTTTAATCGAATCTCACCTTCAATAAAATAATTACCTCCTTTTAAATTAATCCTATTTTTTTACACTCATTCTTATTAAACACTCTATAATAAGTATAAAATCATTATTAATTGGAGTACTTTTGAAAAAAAATAAAATGATTACACCTCAAAAGATTAAAAATGTCTTATATTTTTAACATTTAACTTATCAAAAGATATTTCACATTTTTAAATGAAGGAAATAGGCGTCACGAGATTTCGTTTTAAAGTTTTGAATCTAACCATTTATTTTTAACAAAAATCACGTTTATATTTCAAGATATAATTAATGTACTTTTTTAAAAGTGTTTATAATAAATAGATTACTTTATATTTATTTTAAAGTAAAATATTTTATTAAATAAAGAAATATAAAAAATAATATTAATTTAAAAATAATTAATTATTTTATTGAAAGAGTGATTTAATTAAAATACTTTAATATATTGAATAAAGGGAGTATATTTTTTAACATCTAACTTTTAAAAAAATGTATCACATAAAAGGAGATATTCTCTCGTTAAAAATGTAAGGCATTTTTTAAAAAGTTAGATGTTCAAAAATATAAGGCATTTTTAATCTTTTGATGTGTAATCATTACTTTTTAAAATATGTCCCTACTAGTGAATAATTTTATATTTATTGTAAAGTGTTTAATAGAAATAAATATAATAAAATAAAATTAATTTAAAAATAAATAATTATTTTATTAAAAAATGAAATTTAATTAAAAATATTTTTCATTTTCAAACGAAACGAGTAGAATAATTAACATCCAAAGAAGGGCGCAGACGATCCTGCAAAGTCCACTTGTTCTCAGCCTCTTCGATCCCAGTGTTTGCTCTTTCCATATTATGTATTAATAATGTGAAATAACACTATTAATATATATTATGTAATACGATATCACGGGGTCAGTAGAATGATTCACAATAAATAGATAATTTCTTTTTGCATGTTTAGAGAAAAATATTTAAACTAGCCGACAAAATTTTGATCTTTTTAGCTAAATTTGTGTTCCATTTCGTTAGTTGTAATTCATTTTTATATTCTATTAACTCCATAACTTCTTTTGCAAGGTCTGAGCTATATCAATGACAATATAGCTTAAGTGAAGTTTTATGGAGCCAATTGCAATGTTAGAAGGGACAAGTGCAATTTTAATAAGGAAGTGGAAATTTTTTTGATGTGTTATGGGATGGAAAATTTTGTCATGTAAAAATGACAAGATATCAAGTAGTATTATTATATAGCCCACAAATAAATCTTTCAGAATCTTTAACCTTCTAATCTTTTGATTTGTCTGACATAAAAAAAATTAGCATATTTTATCATTAACATTTTGAATCATGAAATTATTTCACAATCATTAATTTTGTTATTACTTTATCACATTTTACAATTTTTTATTAACATACTGTAAAATGTATTTTATTGATGAGTAAAATAAAATAACCCGTGCATTGTGGCTAGTTATCCTAATAGCAGTGCCATCTTCATCTCTTAGAAAAGATTATAGATTCAAATTTAATGTTGACATGCTTGTGTGCAGCCCTTTCTTATTCTCTCCCTTTCTTATAGAATGAGTGTGCCTATATGATTAATGTCATGGAGATATTGTGGAATCTTGTTTTCATATATTAAGGGATAATTAGCATCACTATTATTAATTCCATAACTATTCTTAAACCCCACCAGGAATTTTCCTCGCTTCATTTGGATTTTATAATTTTCTCTATCCCAAATTAAATTCTTTCTTTTCAATTTTTAAATTTCTTTCCTTTTTTATAATGACTTAATCGAATTGAATCCTTGAATTTTTTCTATTATATTTTTCAATCAAATAGCTGGTACTGGTTAAAAAAATAATACACTTATCAAAGTTAAGTTCCGAAAAGATAATAATTTTTTAAATTTGAAAATTTCATTGTTGTTAACTAAATATTACTTATACATAACACGTACTAAAATTAAATTTTACCGAAACATTACTTTAGATAAATTAAAATTAATTTTTTTTACCAAAAAACGTATTAAAATTAAGTTTTAGATAAATAATTATTTTTAAAAATATAAATAACTTAAATTTAAAAATAAATTGAAAATTATTCTGAAACAAATGTGCTCATGTATTCTAATATCTATTATTTTGTTTTCTGAATTTCAAAAAATAATTCAATTACTGAATTAGTATTTATGCTACTTTATGAAATTCTTTCTAATAGTCAACTAACAAAGGTGGTTACGGCACCGCCCCATCATTTTTTAATAAATATAAAATTAATGAAGTTTGCTTTATATTAAAGGTATTATGCGACAAGAGAGGGTGCAAAGGAGAAAACTTATATGTTTAATCTTATATATTTAATATACTTGTTTTTAATTAAATTGAGATAAGTAAATCTTATTTAAAATATTTATTCTATAAAAAATTTTGTTATTGATTTTATTAACATATTAAAATTCATTTATCATAATTTAATTAGATATAAATATATTAAGTATTTAAAAGGATATGAATCTTACTCTCGCCCAACAAGAAAATCAGCAGAATGCTGATAAACACACGTTAAGAATTACTATTTTACCTCTTTCATGAATTTCAAAAACTCGATATACACTAACATTGATTCTTTCACACTAATTAAAAAATAAAATTAAGATTTTTAATACTTTAAAAAAGTATTTGTCTAACATTTAATTTTTATGCCATTTGTTTACAAAAAATAATTTTGTTAAGTCAACGAGAAATGTATATTTAACAACTATGAAAAATTTGAAGTTTAAAAATGTTGGAATATTTAAATATTATTTATGAATTTGCATTAATTAATAAGCTTAAAATAAATTATTCTTTATGATATTTTGTAAACTGTACGTAATCGATGGATCACATAAGTGAGCTCAATAAAAAAGCCCAACCTACAAACTTGTAACATTTAATTATTTCATATCTTTTAATTGATTGAATTAAAAATAACGAGAGATTATTTTAATGTGCTTCATATAATGCGATCAATCTACAACTAACATATGTGACTCTCTTTCCATTATTTTCACTATCTCTATACTCTAAAAAAACTATGGAGTCTAGTAGATTGTAATCTGTTTACATCCAAAGTAATTGAAGAGTCATAAGTCATGAATTCTTTAGGTACCTATGTTAACTTCTTATTTTATTTGAATCATACATATTGAGATATTTAATTTCAACATAAAAAGTATCATCTACTTGAAATTTAACTTTGATATGTATATTATGTTTAATCAATATCAGTTATTACTTGATTAAAATGAATACAGAAAATATTGTTGTACCCCTCTGATTAATATCCTATTAAAAAGAAACAGGGAAGGAAGAAAATTATAATAAAAGAGACTATAAAAATTTATTTAAAAAAATGAAGCAGTGAAAATGTCCAGTGTAGTTGTTCAAGAAACTTGCGAAATGAATCACAGTGATGTACTTTTCCCTCACCACAATGACACACTTCTACAAAGCACAAAATAGCGGTGCTAATTAATTTTAATTTTCCTGTATATTATATCAAGACAAGAGTCCCCATTTTTCTCCTTACCTGCAAGAAATTTTAAAATAGGCTCACTTAAAACATCAAATCATAATGCAAGTATTGACAATTATATCTTCCCTACTTAGATTCATAATCCCCCATTTTCGTCCCAAGAAAGAAAATTTAGAGAGACATCTTAAACCCTCTAGAATTAGCTAAGAAGAGGAAGACTTTGGGGGGGTGGAGAAGACTCGTAAAGTATAGCTTTGCTGGCATTTACGAGGAAGCCATGTCCTCCTTTAGTTACAATAAATGATAATCCTGAAATCATATTCAACGTATAGGCTTAGGAGAAATGAAAAATCAATATGCAAAGCATATATCAAGGTTTTAGGGGCTCCAACTTCCATGCTCTTTAAATGATAAATTTAAGAAACTCCTCCCAACACCTTTCCCCACATTTCTAAGTTCTAGTGTCTCTCCAGCATTAGGGACGACCTTTCGAAATCGAGTTTCTCTGTGTTGGCCGTCGTATTGCAGTTGTGGAAGATTCAAGTTTTAATCTTGGAGGGAAGGCATGATAGGCTTTGGTGGCATTGGTAGAGAAGCTAAACTTCCTTCTAACATTTCAATCAATCTACTAATTGTAGGTCTTTGAGTTGGAAACGTTTGAATACACCACAAACCCACAATCGTCATTCTCCCAGCAATATCATTTTCTTCCTTGGTGTGTGCCCCATCATGTCCCAAATTGTTGCCTTCCTCAAGTTTCTCATAAATCCAATCCGGAAAATAAATCTCAGTAGTGCGATTGGCTTTCAGCATTCATGTTCTTTCGTCCCCCAACCATATCTAATAGCATCATTCCATAACTATAAACATCAAATTTATGTGAAATTCCTCCTATATTTCTATTTCAAAACTTCTGGAACAAGATATCCTATAATTCCTCTGGCTTCTGAAATTGAAATGATGCTTTCTTTCTTTCCTTGGATATATCTTTGCAAGCCCAAAATCTGAGATCTTAGGACAGAAGCCCTCATCTAAAAGAATGTTATGCGGCTTTATGTCAAAATGCAGAATTTGAGTGTTGCATCCTTTATACAAGTATTCAAGCCCTCCAGCTGTCCCAATTGCAATGTGGTATAAATTTTCCCAAGTCAAGGATGGAATAGTTTTTATCTACCTTATCATGAATAAATTTGTCAAGAGATCCATTAGACATGAGCTCATATATGAGAGCCTTTCTGTGTCCTTCCAAACAAAATCCAAGGAGGGTAACAACATTGACATGGGAAGTTCGACTGATGCTAGCAATCTCATTGATAAATTCTTCCCCATTCCCTTTGGATGGATTCAATAACTTGACAGCAACAGGGCAGCCCTTAAGCATTTCTCCTTTGTATACTACACCATAACCACCTTGGCCTAATTTAACTTCAAAAGCTTTGGTCATTTTCTTGATGTCTGCAAATTTATATCCTGTGAGAGTGAGAAGTCCATGATTCCTTATGAAGGCCTCAATATTTTGGTCAACCTCACATGTCTTCCAAAGTCCAACTTTTTGCCTCCATGGTTTGATTTTACAACGAACAATAGCAATATATATTAACAACAAAGCTCCAATTATTCCGCTTGTAACTCCTATCACATGTAGGTAAATCATTGAGTTGCAAATGTACTAGACTACTCATTTTCTACAATATCTATATACAATTCTAAGTTAGGGGTTTATGTGTATTTTAACCCGTTTATATGTTTATTGTTTTCATTGTGTATTATTC